GCATTCATCATAGTCATTGTTTACCTCAACTGTACTCAGGTAGTACAAGCGTCCATATTCATTGATGTCGAACCTTGTACCATTCTTGTGAACAAGTTGGTTGCATCCTTTCTTGAATGTGACTGCTGCTCCGCTGGTCGTCGCTGCCTGGACTGAGAAGATGTCCTGTGGATATGAGGGGATGTAAAGTGCTCCTTCCAGCGTTGCCTTTACACGGTGTCCCTCGCTGTCCTGCAGGTAGACTTCTGCCGCTCCTCTCTTTAGCGCGACACCACTCGCTCTCGTCCCGTCCGCCAGCTCCATGAAGTGACTTTCCGGTGTGAAAGCATCGTCAAACCTTTTGAAACTTTTAATGTTCGTTACAATGTGAGACGTGGCTCCTGTATCGACCATCAAGCCTCTCTGTTTCAGCCCCGGAACATTCCCGTCATTTACTTTGAATGCAAAACTATGATCTTCAGAATCTGCAACATGTTTAACATTCGTCTTTTTTTGTAGTCTACAATTATTGTCTTTATGTGTGGAACTGTTGCAGTAACTACACCACTGCTTCTCCTTAGACTCAGGTCTGTCACTCTTCGCATAGCATTCACGTGCAATATGACCTTTCTTTCCACAGTTGTAACATTTGATCTCTACATTGTCTCTGTTTTTATTTCTCTGCCAGTTACTCATCTTCATTACGTTGTCTTCTGAGTTTACAGGCTTTTCTGTGATCTCGTAGCTCCTTAGCTTTGCTTTGAACTCGCTGAATTTGATTTCTTTTTCGCTCTGGGTAATGTGGATGGAAAATGGCTTGAAACTTTCAGGCAATCCTTTTAGTACCATTGCCACAAGCAACCCATCGCTCAAAGTCTCTTCAGCATTTCTTAAAGCTGTGATGGCATTCTCTGCTCGTATGATATAGTCTGTCACGGTCTTCTGAAGCGATGTTAGCTCCGTGTACAGGCTAATAACACGAGTCTTGCCTTTACCAGAGTAGTGCTCTCTTAGTATCTTAAGCGCTTCTCTTCCATTGTCTGTAGCTTCTCTCATCACAAGTGAGAGGCTTCTATCGTCCAAGACTTGAATAAGCTCAGCATAAGCTTCTTCGTTCTTAGCTTCGTGAGAATCTTCATCTTCCTCTTGCTCACCTGGCTCGTTTAAAATGGCCTCCTTCAGCCCGAGCAGCCGCAGGTGTCCCAAGAATTTAGTTTCCCACAGTTCATAATTTCTTTCGTCCCCGTCGAAGCACAATCGGTTCCATCGGCCTCCTCCATCCCTTCTGGGCCCATAACCTGTTGATCGCAGCATTATGAGGGCGGGATAACCGTGGTAACAAGAATTTACTGACGGAGGAAAACACACAACTCATCAGTCTCTTTGACCGGCTCAGTCTCACGCATGGAGCGCACCGCGTCATTTATTGGGTACAGACATACACTTCCGGTTTGACCCTTCAGTGTAAGAGCATACACACACACATATATATATACACAGATACCTACAAGGCAACAATTCGCTACTGAAAAAACTTTAAAACCCAGGTCACTTATTTCACACAGAGAGGATGCCTCTCTCTCCACTGCGCACATGCTTAACGCTTTCGGTCTGGCCACAAAGTCCATCTTTCAGAGCTGCTTTTATCCTATGAACCTTCCCGGCCCCTGCGCTCTCGAAGGCATGGAGGGCACTATTTTATTTTTTAACTTCAACAAAAAATATAAATAGACTGTAACATTGTACCAAAGGCATGGAGTATAACACTCTGATACAGTAGGTGGCGGCATACGTCAATGTTGATTCGTAGCCCGCCATGAAATTACAGAAGAAGAAGGCCCCTGCGCTCCTCGAGCAGCAGACTCCTAACCATCCCCAAAGTCAGGACCAGTTCTACAGTTCAAAAGTGGCCAAAATGACGTGCGCTGACATGCTGCAATACCACCCCGGGTCGTTGGGGGTGGACCCAGAAGAAGAATTAGCCAATGCTAACATATAGCATTGGCAGGCCTCTCAAAAACGTCTTTACAGGATGGACCAAAAGTTGGCTCTTGGCCCAAAGCTCCGTTCCACATGTGTGTCAATGCTGAGGGGGGTGAATTTTTTTGGTCCACTCTAGTTTACTTGCTGTGAATTTTTGAAGTCTCTCGTTCAAATGAATGGAGATGCGGCGGCTGACGCATGCGCAGATGCGTTTTTTCTCAATTTTCTTGTGGGCGGGACCACTCGCGGCCATTTTGGATTGCTCCAGTAGAGTGTCACTCCCGGATTCGTCCCGGAAACCGGATTCGTCCGGAAGTTCAGTTTGCGCATGTCAAAAAGTTTAATATGTCCTTAAGTGGTGACTGGTTAAGTTTAGGCGTCTGATTAGATGGTTAAGTTTAGGGTTAAGGCTGGGTTGGGGTTATTTTATGGGAATGGCTGGTTAAGTTTAGGCATGAATAGGTAGTTTTTTATATTTACTTCCGCTTCCGTCCAGATTCCGTGACGTAATCTACTGCTGCCTGTGCTCATTGGATCAAACTGAACTTCCGGACGAATCCGGTTTCCGGGACGAATACGGGAGTGACATAGAGCACATTTTTTGGCCCATTAGTTAGAACGGCGGAGATAGGCGTGACTCTGTCCATTAATATATACAGTCTATGGGCGTGACTCTGTCCGTTGATATATACAGTCAGGACACACACTCACTGCGAGGCATCTTTCCAGCACTACTTTTGGATCTGGTAGGGGCCTGGGGCCTCCTCTCTCCTCCGGGTCCTGTGTTGTCCCCTGTGGTTGCAAGCGGCTCTCTGCTCCTGGTGCAGATGGCTCCCTGGATGGCGCTTCTTTAGCTGGATACATCCGCACCCAGCCCTATATCTTTTCATAGTTTTATCTATTTTACCTGTCTGATGTGTGTGTGTGTGCGAGTGCGTGTGCGTGAGCGTGTGTGGGCGTGAGCGCGTGTGTACGGGTATATGCATCTCGATGTATATCTAATAAATAGGGTGGTTTATGGGTGGGTCTTTGGGGTTTATTGGGCATGTTGTATTGATTTTGACTCAGCTGTAAAGCACTTTGTGTTGCATTTTATTATATGAAAAGCGCTTTATAAATAAAGTTTGATTGATTATAGAAAAACATTCAGATCAATCAATCTTTAAACAGGCAGCGAGCCCACAATGCCCCAGTCTTAGCCTCAAGATCATGACCTACAGTATTCTCGTCTTGTTGTTAAATATTCCCTATTGTTTTTAACTGAAGGTTGACTCCTGAAATAATGTCTTCCTCTGGTTTCCTTTTGCCTTTCTCTCTGCCACTCCGGATAACCCAGCTTCTTAAAAACACTCACACACTCTGCTTTACCTAAAGGTACTCTAATGCCTATTGACTCTTTCAGAAGAAACTGCTTAGCAGATTTATCAGCTATCTCATTTCCTAAAATCCCACAGTGTCCTGGAGGGGCGTTTCTTTTGAAGCGTGGGTCGAGGCGTGTGTTGATGGCGTATGTGGTGACGTTCGAAGTGGCCGCACCACGTGACGGTTTGCTGAGGTGCTTCGTATTTGCATCGCTTTGACAGGTGTTTTATGATCCACGGCTGTACCCGTCTGTCTCTGTGTGCGTACGTGTGTGTGCGTGATGTGGCGCAGTCCTGTACTAAGTAAAGCAAATCTACTTCATATGAAATACAAACATTTAACTTAAGTAAAACCTCAATTTCATATATTCAGGTTTACCCTAAAGTCACCATGTTTTACTTTTGTTTAAATTAGTACTAATAATACGTTGGCTCACACAACGTAGCAGTTGCGTGGCGCAGTCGGTAGTTGCAGGACTTCGACGTCGATATGTGGTACGAATCTGCTAAACTCACTTTCAGTTTTGTATTTGCAAAGTAAATATATTTAATTATTGGGAATAAAGGGTTTGTGTTTAATTAATCCACCTCATGGTAGTTTTTCCTCAATTAAACACTTTTTGTAAAATTGTATTGCTTTGGATCCAATGTATCACCACTTTTGACTGAAAGCTTCAAATAGTTTATAGTTCGTAAAGCATCATTTCAAACACATGTTTACTCCATAGACTGGAAATATTAATATTAGACCCCACCATCCATTGTAAGCACTTAAGATTGTTATGTATTTATTTGTCCACATGATGGCGTAGTGGATCATGACTCACCTCGAGTCTTCGAACCATGGGCCGAGTGATAGGCTCCAAACCCTCAATGCATCATGGGGCTTCATATTGCCATCACTAGCTCTTAGTCCTCTTGTTTTTGCGGGCTCGCTCTCTCGGGCGCTTGAAACTTTTCGTCTGACTCAGCATGTAAGTGGCCCCACCCACAGTACACTCTAGACCTGCTAAATACTAAGGATGTCAATTTTTTTTAATATAAATAAGTATTTTTTGACCTTTGTGTTGCTAGTAAATCACCAGCGGTTTCTGCAAAAAGACATACATGAAAACACAGGCGCACTACTCATGTAGCTAGAACTACCCTGGTTTAAGTCTGATCAAGAAGACCGGAAGTTCTTTGTGTCTCAGATCATATGACCCTGACCTGTGGAGTGCCACAAGGACTGATCCTGGGACCATTTCTGTTCAATTAATCCTCAGACACACGACCCATCACATGTTACATTGTACAAGGAGAAAAAGGCTTGATAGAAGCAGAGCACAGAGCCCAGCCTCTCTCAGGACAAGTCTGAAAATCAAAAGTCTGCAAGTTCCTTATGACTAAAAGACACACCTTCATATGCAGATAGGAATGGAAAACCCACAGAGCAAAGAACAATTGACAAGACCTTCCTTGTTAGCATGTTCAAAAGCCTGCTTCCTCTGGTGTTTAACATGCGAACCCAGCCCAGACTGACTGCCAAAGTGAATTACAATACAGTCTATTCTAGCTACATATTACCTGAATTATTAAAATTATAACTTAAACAACATTCCAATAACATGTCCACTGCTAAAAAACATAACAAGACATGACTTAATAAATTGATTTTATTAATTTATTAACAATTCTTTACAGTTGGAGTACTTTCTTGACGGCCTCTTTGTAAAGTTGTAACGTCTCGTCGTTATCTCCTTCGTTTTTCAACCTGGTCACAGAGTCCTTGTACTCCTGCACCTCAGCTCGACCCAGCAGCCGATGGTGCTCTCCCTCTCCTCCCTCTCCTCCCTCACCTCCCTCTCCTCCCTCCATCTTCATGTGCCTCAAAGTCTCCAGGAGGTTTCTCTGCGAGGGACTGTTCTCCCAGCTGTACTCCTCCATGTCGGCCACGGTCTTCTCTGCCTCCCAGGCTTCAGTTTTCTGGAATAAAGAGAAGATTTAGAACTCTGGTCTGGTGCATGTTTTCATGATGGTGTCTCTCTCACTCTCGGGTCTCTCACTCTCGGGGTCTCTCACTCTCAGGGTCGCTCACTCTCAGGGTCGCTCACTCTCGGGTCGCTCACTCTCGGGTCGCTCACTCTCGGGTCGCTCACTCTCGGGTCCCTCACTCTCGGGTCCCTCACTCTCGGGTCCCTCACTCTCGGGTCCCTCACTCTCGGGTCCCTCACTCTCGGGTCCCTCACTCTCGGGTCCCTCACTCTCGGGTCCCTCACTCTCGGGTCCCTCACTCTCGGGTCCCTCACTCTCGGGTCCCTCACTCTCGGGCTTTGTCGACTTGATCCCGGTGTTTATATTTTCAGAATCAGAATCAGAATCATTTTTATTGCCACGTAAGTAACAGGAAGTCACAGACTTGGAAATTGCTTTGGCTCAGTGCAACAGTCAGAAAGAGATAATAAAAATAAGAATAAAAAACACTTCTAAAGAATAAATTTAAATTTGAAATAGAGTTACAGTTACTATTTACAATATACAAGTGCACATGGTGCACACAATGCAAGGTGACAGCAGTACAGTGAAGTAAAGTGACGCATGATGGGCAGTAAAGTGACTTTATAAAGGGCGGGGGGACAGGTTAAGAAGTGTTCAAGAGTCCAACAGCAGAGGGGAAGAACTGTTCTTGTGGCGGGAGGTTCTAGTCCTGATGGACCGCAGCCTCCTGCCTGAGGGGAGTGGTTGGAGTAGTCCATGTGCAGGGTGAGAGGGGTCGGCTGTGATACGACCAGCCCGGCCTCGAGCTCGGGCGACGTATAGGTCCTGCAGCGATGGAAGGCTGCGGCCGATCACTTCCTCTGCAGAGCGCACAATGCGCTGTAGCCTCTGTTTGTCCCTGACTGTGGCTCCAGCGAACCACACGGTGATGGAGGAGGTGATGGAGGAGGTGATGGAGGAGGTGAGGATGGACTCGATAGTGGCCGTGTAGAACTGCACCAACATCTGTGCAGGCAGCTTGGCTTTCCTGAGCTGCCGCAGGAAGTACATCCTCTGCTGGGCCTTCTTGATGAGGGAGCTGATGGTCGGCTCCCACTTGAGGTCCTGGGAGATGGTGGTGCCCAGGAAACGGAAGGACTCCACAGAGGTGATGGGGGAGTCCATCACGGAGGGTGGGGGCGGGGGGACAGTGCTCTTCCTGAAGTCCACAATCATCTCCACTGTCTTCTGGGCGTTCAGCTCCAGGTTGTTACCACTGCACCAGGACACCAGCCGGTCCACCTCCCTCCTGTAGGCGGACTCATCGTTGTTGGAGATGAGTCCAATGAGGGTGGTGTCGTCCGCGAACTTGATCAGCTTCACGGAGTCGTGGCTGGAGGTGCAGTGGTTGGTGTACAGGGAGAAGAGCAGGGGAGAAAGAACACAGCCCTGTGGCGCTCCTGTATTTATAAACAGAGAGTCCGAGACATTCTTCCCCAGACGCACTCACTGCTTCCTGTCCGTCAGGAAGTCAGTGATCCACCTGCAGGTGGAATCGGGCACGTTGAGCTGGGAGAGCTTGTCCTGGAGCAGGGATGGCAGGATTGTGTTGAAGGCAGAGCTGAAGTCCACGAACAGGACCCTGGCGTAGGTCCCTGGGGAGTCCAGGTGCTGCAGAATGTGGTGGAGGGCCAGGTTAATGGCGTCGTCTACAGATCTGTTGGCTCTGTAGGCGAACTGCAGGGGGTCCAGGAGGGGGGAGGTGAAGGACTTGAGATGGGAGAGAACCAGGCGTTCAAATGACTTCATGACGACAGACGTAAGTGCTACAGGTCTGTAGTCGTTGAGTCCTGTGATCCTGGGCTTCTTCGGGACGGGGACAATGATGGAGGATTTGAAGCAGGCCGGGACATGGCAGGACTGCAGAGAGGTGTTGAAAATGTCAGTGAACACAGGAGTAAGCTCACTGGCGCAGTATCTCAGAGTGGCCGGAGACACGTGGTCCGGGCCAGGAGCTTTGCGGGGGTGCAGCCTCAAGAAGAGTTTTTTAATCTCTTTAGAGGCTATTGTTAGGCTGGGAAAGGGCTGATGGGTGGGTCGTTAGAGTAGTGGGGGGTGGGGGAGGGAGAGGTGTCAGGGGCAGCATCAAAGAGACTGAAAAATAAGTTCAGTTCGTCAGCTAGCTTGTGGTCGTCAGCACAGGGGGGGGCTTTGGGTTTGTAGTTGGTGATCTCCCGTAGGCCCCTCCAGACAGAAGCAGTATCGTTGTTACCAAACTGCTCCTGTAGACGTTCTCTGTGCCGGGACTTGGCTGCTTTCAGTTCTTTCCTGAACTGATATTTAGCTGCTTTGTAGCCGCTGCGGTCCCCCTCCCTGAAAGCAGACTCCTTTGCTTTCCTGAGCTGCCAGAGTTTAGCAGTGAACCAGGGTTTGTCGTTGTTATAGATGACCCTGGTCCTTGTTGGAATGATGCTATCCTCACAGAAGTGAATGTATGACGTCACAGTGTCCGTGTATTCATCCAAACTATCTGTGGCAGCTCTGAAAAGGTCCCAGTCTGTAGATTCCATGCATGCGCGCAGCTCTTCCACAGCTTCATCAGACCACACTTTGGAGCTCCTCACTGCAGGTTTCGAGAGCTTTAGTCTCTGTCTGTAAGCAGGAACCAGATGTATCATGGAGTGATCTGAGAAGCCGAGGGCTGGCTTGGGAACAGCGCGAAAAGCTCCGCGCACGGTGGTGTAACAGTGATCCAGAGTGTTCTCCTCTCTGGTCGGGCATTTGATAAACTGTCTGTATTTGGGTAATTCCTGGCTCAAGTTTCCCTTATTAAAATCCCCCAGGATAATAATCAGAGAGTCCGGGTATAAACGTTCCATACACAGTACTTGCTCAGCAAGTGCGCGCTGAGCCTCGCGCGCGTCCGCGCATGGCGGTATGTAAACAGAGGCAAGAATGAATGAAACAATTTCGCGCGGGGAGTAATATGGTTTACAATGAATGAAAAGATATTCCAGAGCAGGAGAGCAGTGCTTGGAGATCACTGTCACATCGTTACACCAGTTTGTATTGACGTAGAAACACAGTCCACCGCCTCTGCTCTTCTCGATCCGCGCGGAACAGCCCAAAGCCCTGCAGCTCCAGAGCGCAGTCCGGGATCCGCTCATTTAGCCAGGTCTCAGTGAAGCAGAGGACACAGGATGTGGCGAAGTCCTTGTTTCTTCTCATGAGCAGGCTGAGTTCGTCCATCTTATTGCCCAGTGAGCGTACGTTGGAGAGAAAAATGCCGGGGAGAGCCGTGCGCGCTCCTCTCCTCCTAAGACGCACGAGCAGGCCTCCGCGCTTTCCCCTTTTACGGGCCCACACTTTTTTGGCTAGAACATGGACTAAATCAGCCGCAGATGCCAAGAAAACAGGCAATAGGTCCATGGGGACGGTGGGTCGGATGTTCATAAGTTCCTCACGGGTGTAGGAACAGCCAGATGCGCAGTTAAAAAGTAAAAACAAAAGAAAAAGAGAGCAGCAAAGAGCCATGTCGACCGTACGAGGCGCCATCTTTGTTGTTGTTCATATTTTGATATTATCTATAATTGCGCCATATAAGGTTTGACCAATCAGATGCCTGTATTCAAATCCATGTATCCACAATGTTCCTGCTCTGAGCCGTACAGAGACGCTCCTCTCACAGAGATAGTTTCTCAACATGCGTGCATCAAAGTGCGTCCAGAACAATGGGGCCGTTGTGCAAGAGATTAAAGCCGCTCGCAATCGCTGCTGTCCAGGTGTCGAAGTTTAATGACTCATTACTATATATACATTACACAGCTACTCTACCTCTGCTGGGCCAAGAGAGGAGAGACCAGTCAGAGGAGAGAGGCCAGCCAGGGGAGAGACCAGTCAGAGGAGAGAGACCATGAAAACTTCCCTACTGGGCTTCATTGAGCTAGTGGGTTAGCATTGTCCATCTGTGGCCTGTGATTACGCATCGGGGTCAGCATCAGAGAGCAGGAGGAAATGTCAAGTGGACAAAGCTGCCGTTGGCTCTCCTCTCGGCCATTCAGAGCGGTCACCCCCCTAATGGAGTCGGAACCGCTGATCGGGGAGAAAGATTCATGTCTGAAGAGAACCAAATGTCATGTCTTCACACCGAGGCCTGCTTTCATTGAACAGAGTAGTAGTAGTAGTAGTAGTAGCAGTAATAGTAGTGGAGCAGTAGAAAAGTGAAATATATACATACCCAGGACTCATGGTAAAGAGCCGTGAGGAGATACATTGCATAGTCGTAATTCTGCTTTCGCAAAGGGCAGCTGAAAACAATTCAAAAACCATGAGTTATGATTTATCTCATGGCCGTGGTACATCTGTGAGACGTGAGGAGGGGTGTTACCTGTCGGCGGTGACGGTGAGGACGTCTGTGCTTTTGCAGAATCGATCTCCCGCCAGTTTGATCATCTTATTGCGTGCATGGTCGTCCAGATTCAAGCTCGACAATTTCACCTGCGAACGCGGCGTCGTGTTACATTGGTTTCAAAGACAATTATGGACAGTTCACAGACAGTTCACAGACAATTATGGACAGTTCACAGACAGTCATGGACAGTTCACAGACAGTTACAGACAGTTCACAGACAGTTATGGACAGTTCACAGACAGTTCACAGACAGTTCACAGACAGTTAGACAGTTCACAGACAGTTACAGACAGTTCACAGACAGTTATGGACAGTTCACAGACAGTTCACAGACAGTTAGACAGTTCACAGACAGTTACAGACAGTTCACAGACAGTTATGGACAGTTCACAGACAGTTACGGACAGTTCACAGACAGTTACGAACAGTTCACAGACAGTTCACAGACAGTTACAGTTACAGACAGTTCACAGACAGTTACAGACAGTTTACAGACAGTTACAGACAGTTTACAGACAGTTCACAGACAGTTACAGACAGTTTACAGACAGTTCACAGACAGTTACGAACAGTTCACAGACAGTTCAGAGACAGTTCACAGACAGTTACAGTTACAGACAGTTTACAGACAGTTCACAGACAGTTACAGACAGTTCACAGACAGTTCACAGACAGTTACAGTTACAGACAGTTCACAGACAGTTACAGACAGTTCACAGACAGTTACAGACAGTTTACAGACAGTGGTGATCCGCCATCTTTGCTATTATTGCATTTCCTGTAATGCAGTTATTCTGTAAAGTCCCATTTGTCTCTACAGTGACATTTTACTCTACAGGTTTTATTCTCTACTCTACAATTCTGTTTTTGTCTCAAGATCACTCTAGCCTCACTCTACCCTCACTCTACTCTCACTCCACTCTCAATCTACTCTGACTCTACTCTGACCCTACCCTGACTCTACCCTGACCCTACCCTGACCCTTCCCCGTCTCTACTCTGACCCTACCCTGACTCTACTCTGACCCTACCCTGACTCTACTCTGACCCTACTCTGACCCTACCCTGACTCTACCCTGACCCTACCCTGACTCTACCCTGACTTTACCCTGACCCTACCCTGACTCTACCCTGACTCCACCCTGACCCTACCCTGACTCCACCCTGACCCTACCCTGACTCCACCCTGACCCTACCCTGACTCTACCCTGACCCTACCCTGACCCTACCCTGACTCTACCCTGACCCTACCCTGACCCTACCCTGACTCTACCCTGACTCCACCCTGACTCTACCCTGACCCTACCCTGACTCTACCCTGACCCTACCCTGACTCCACCCTGACTCTACCCTGACCCTACCCTGACTCTACCCTGATCCTACCCTGACTCTACTCTGACCCTACCCTGACCCTACCCTGACCCTACCCTGACTCTACCCTGACCCTACCCTGACTCTACCCTGACCCTACCCTGACTCTACCCTGACTCCACCCTGACTCTACCCTGACCCTACCCTGACTCTACCCTGACCCTACCCTGACCCTACCCTGACCCTACCCTGACTCCACCCTGACTCCACCCTGACTCTACCCTGACCCTACCCTGACTCTACCCTGACTCCACCCTGACTCTACTCTGACCCTACCCTGACTCTACCCTGACCCTTCCCCGTCTCTACTCTGACCCTACCCTGACTCCACCCTGACCCTACCCTGACTCTACCCTGACTCCACCCTGACTCTACTCTGACCCTACCCTGACTCTACCCTGACCCTACCCTGACTCTACCCTGACCCTTCCCCGTCTCTACTCTGACCCTACCCTGACTCCACCCTGACCCTTCCCCCTCTCTACTCTGACTCTACTCTGACCCTACCCTGACTCCACCCTGACTCTACTCTGACCCTACCCTGACTCTACCCTGACCCTACCCTGACCCTACCCTGACCCTTCCCCGTCTCTACTCTGACCCTACCCTGACTCTACCCTGACCCTACCCTGACTCTACCCTGACCCTTCCCCGTCTCTACTCTGACCCTACCCTGACTCTACCCTGACCCTACCCTGACTCTACTCTGACCCTACCCTGACTCTACCCTGACCCTCGCTCCATCCTCGCCCTAGCCTCGCCCTACCCTCGCTCCACCCTCACTCCACCCTCACTCTACCACTGGTGTTTAAAAACCTGTATGACTGTGTTTACTCCACAGACGAAGCCCCCGCTGCAGGATTATATTTTTGCTTTGTTTTCCATTGTTGTTGATCTGTGCGAGAAGTCGAGTTTCCAGAATAAAACCATTTACATAAATTTCTGCATACGTTTTATTTACTATATGTATGTATGTATTTTATTTATTTATTTGATAGGGACAATGCACATTAATGAATATCAAACCAATGTAAATATGCCGTATTATAGCTACCAAATTGGTATTTTCAGATTTTATTCTACAGGTTTAATTCTGTACATATATACCATGGATGGATGTGTGATTTTATGTGAGAGAGTTAAAACTAAAACATCTCATACTCAGCAGACAGGGAACAGCTTTCTCAAAGGTCAGGTTTTGTGGGGATTTTTGTGCCTCTTCTCATCCTGAATTTTTTTCTTTTTAAATCCATCGGTTTTTCTATAAATTTAGCTCAAGAAACTCAACTCGCTCTGGTCTCGCTCTAGCTCCGCTCTGACAGGTCTTCGCCATTGATGTGAATGGGCCGACATCTTGGGAGACCAAGGGTAGGGAAGGGAAGTTTATTTGTATAGCACAGTTCATACACAAGGCACATATAAACAGTACATTAAAAAAAGAGTAAAGATATCATCTGTACATAAGAACTGATTTAACCTGGATTTGAACACTGTCAGAGAGGAAGAATGTCTCAAACTTCCAAGAAGACTGTTCCAGATTTTAGCAGACATGTTGAGACCCGGGGCTTGGGCTTGACGCACCATACTGTGAACATTTGCATTTACTGGGGGTGACAGTAGCTCATTTTGTAGAGCAATGGTCTTTGGACCTGAAGGTTGTGGGTTCGTGACCCATGTCACCTGCTCCCACTGATGCCTGCTGTCGTTGTGTAAGACACTTAACCCCACATTGCCTGAAGCCCCCGCTGAAAGACCATGGCCATCTCGTCAATGACAAGGAAGCCATCTTCCTATGGACCCACCACCTGCAGGAGGATAGATGGATAGATACTTTATTGATCCCCTTCGGAGAAATTCAGGTGTCCAGTAGCAGCAAAAATAAAATATAAAATGTATTATTCAAAGAAGCTAACAATAGTAATAATCAGCAACAGCCCTTCAGGTCACAGCAGCAGAGGTGGAGTAGCCTCTGGGTGGAGCAGGACGGGTGACAGCAGCAGAGGTGGAGTAGCTGCTTGGTTTGGAGCATTTTCTCTGCTCTAGTCCAAAGTAAAATGCTGAATGGTTCATTAGCATTAAAAGAAAAAAAAAAAGTTAGCATTCCTCCAGTGGATTTTCACCTAATCCACTTGGTTCATACCATGAATCCTCTCTGCTCCGGTCTGGACCAGTGAAAAACCTTGAACACTGTACTGCAGCAACATGTTAGGTAGAAAAAAGCAAGAAAATGAAATGTATAAAGCCCAAACAACAACTGTTTCAACCTGGAGAGACTACAAGAGACAGGATGCGTTTAAGAGTTCTTAAGAGGACCATAGGCCCCGGCTGTGGCAGGCTGAGTAAGGCGTGGTCCAGCCTGGTGTGATAACGTAGTCTACCACCCTGAACCTCTGCTTAAGCTTCATTTCAGAGCTACTTAGGACTTGCTGCCATTTTCCAGCGCATTCCAAAGGCTCAGTGAGGGACTCGTGCTGTGAGACTTGGGGGGCAGCTCTGATTGCCAGCCCCCAACCCCCCGCCTCAGAAATGGATTAATAAAGGGGAAGACAATGACATGACATGTTGACATTTGCTTTTACACGACAAACTAAAGCACAGTCCATTAGATCGTACTCTTTGCAATCTGATCTATCTCGTCCCGTTTAATCCACGGGGATTAGGCTACAATAATTCCTACCTTGCTGATATAATCTAAACTCGCCTCACTGGAGCATATGTTTCAATTTTAAAAAAAGGTTGAACTACTTACTCTAACCTCGAAACCTGAAAACATTTGTCACTTTTGTCATGGGTGTTGTGTTTCTCTTTTCAAACTGTGAGAAAGAGCAGGGGTGTCCAAACTTATTAGCACTAGGGCCACTTTGGTTTTTGTTTAGTTTTAATTCAATTCATCCATCCATCCACCCATCTTCTTCCCATTAATCCATTTCTGGGTCATGGAAGTCATTCGCGCAGCCTGATTCTAATACATTTAATTAATATACTTCAATTCCATTTATTCTTGTATCGGCCAAAATCACTACAGTATTCGTCGCAGAGGACTTAACCTAACTGTTGAAATCGCCAACACAGATCAGAGAATCAACAGTTTAGACACAAAAAATATAGAACACATGGTATTGGTCCAAAGGGAGTTGACCAATGTCCATGAATGTTATAGAATTGGTTTTAGATTTCAAGCACACAATGAAAAAAATTACGACAACAAAAACAAAAAACAGTGGCCATAAGAACTCTGGTATGAAAAATGAATTGTTACTTGAAAAGGAGTGGGATGAAGTTCAACACTTACTGATTCCCACCTCCTATTTCAGTGTCTAAGTAATTTTAGACGACTTCCTTTGGTTTTACACGTTCTTGCAAAACACCAGCACTTATTCTTTCTTACGTCCATCCATTTTATTCCCGTTAATCCATTTCGGGCAGTCAGAGCAGCCCCTCACTGATCCTCCTGCAGGTGCTGAGTCCAACAGGATCTTTCAGCGGGGGCTTCAGGCAAGGACACAACCACAGCAGACATCAATGGGAGTCGGTGGAGAAGCTCTCGCGGGGGGATCGAACCCACGACCTTCAAAGGCCAATACTCTACTTTGACTGGATTCGGGCTGAAGTAAGATCTGTCCATAACGATTCACAACACAGCTACAAAAAGCACCAAATATGGAGTTTTAGAAGGCAGACAAAAACAAATAAAGTGAACGGCTGGATTCCAGAGGCTCTGAGCTTTACAACAAGGTACAGCATGACTATATCGGGGGTGCTGAAGTTGGCTGGATGACTCTGTGAAAGTCCCTCGATGACGACTTTAGCGTCAGCCGCAGAGGGCCTGATATGGAGCAACTCTGTCTGGTGTTATTGACGTTTGATGCCTTCAACCCAGGGGCAAATAAAAGTATTGGTGGATTAGTAGAAAAGCGAGGGATTACATGCAATATTAAAACAGTTCAAAAACTCAATAAACATGACATTTGGAGCACACCTACAGATCATAATCTGGACAGACACAGATTACGTCCTACGCATTATATAGAAGCCACAGACAATGACCGCAGAAAGTGACGTGACAGTCACAGGACAGGAAGATTATTATTCCCACTAAATCTGTAATCTCAATCTACATGCGAGGACTCCACACACGACATGTCATACATGTTGATGATCACAAGACTCAGACCTACATTCTTAGTCCTGACGAGACGAGGAAGTAGGACCACATTAGTCCAGTTCTCAGGTCTCTGCACTGGCTTCCTGCAGGGACTCTGAGGAGCACAGGGATTAGCCTCCTGCTGGTCCCAGAGTCAGGACTCAGCCAGTGGGGGCGGGTCCCGGCTCAAAAATGTCCAAAATGCCGTGTGCTGACATGCTTGGAATACCACCCCGGGCCAGTGAGGGTGAACCCAGAATAAGAATTAGCCAATGCTAATGTATAGCATCTTCTTACCTCTCGAAAACGGCTACAGGATGGTCCAAAAGTCGCTCTTGGCCCAAAGCTCCGTTTCACATGTGTCAAAGCTGAGGGGAGTGAATGTTTTTGGACCAATCTAGTTTAGCCGCTGTGGACTTGAGAATGCACTCGTTAAATGAATGGGGCTCGTGCAGCTGACGCATGCGCAGATGTGTTTTTTCACATTTTCCAGTCCCCACGGCCATTCTGAAACTGCCCATAGATGGCGAAAGTGATGGCGGGGAAAGGTGTGACTATGTTTGTTAATATTTACAGTCTATGGACTAAACATGGGGAGGCAGCATTTCAGAATTATGCAGCCAAAATCTGGAACAGTCTTCAAAAAAAGTATGAGACAGGCTTCTACTCTGACTATGTTCAAATCCAGGTAAAAAACAGTCTATGTATCAGTTCATACAACTGTGGGATTGAATCTTCACTCTTTTTAACGTACTGAGATCATTTATGATTTGAACGCCCTGAATGATTGTTTTTTATCTATTCTATGTTTTGTTAAGCCCTTCTGGTTACCTTGTGTATGAACTGTGCCATACAAATAAACTTGCCTCACCTTCTTCCCACACGAAGAACAAGAAGGGAGCTTACTTTGAGGCGTACGATGCGAGCGGACGGGTTTCGCAGCGAAGGGCCGTCGCTCACATAGTCCGTGGTTTGGATTTGGATTGGGAAGTGCTGGTCACACTTAGCGTCTGTGTCCAGCGCTGACGGCCACTGCGTGCAGAAAGCTACAGGAGCAAAACAACATCATTACAATCCTTTTAAAAGTCACATGATGGAGAGAGAACAGTTAATGGGTTATAAAGAAGGACCTCATCTAGGAGTTGTGTGCAGTGGTCACTGAGGGTTACATTCTAAAAATAACTTGCAATAAGTGAAATTCTTGAAGTACCAGCTGCATGGACTGAGGGCTTCAGGAGAGACCAGGGAGAGAGACCAGTGACCAGAGTGAGAGACCAGAGGGAGACCAGAGAAGGAGACCAGAGACCAGAGTGAGAGACCAGAGGGAGACCAGAGAGAGAGCAGAAAGAGAGACTAGAGAGAGAGCAGAGAAAGACCAGAGAGAGAGAGCAGAGGGAGACCAGAGTGAGAGACCAGAGGGAGACCAGAGAGAGAGCAGAAAGAGAGACTAGAGAGAGAGCAGAGAAAGACCAGAGAGAGAGAGAGCAGAGGGAGACCAGAGTGAGAGACCAGAGGGAGACCAGAGAGAGAGCAGAAAGAGAGACTAGAGAGAGAGCAGAGAAAGACCAGAGAGAGAGAGCAGAGGGAGACCAGAGTGAGAGACCAGAGGGAGACCAGAGAGAGAGCAGAAAGAGAGACTAGAGAGAGAGCAGAGAAAGACCAGAGAGAGAGAGCAGAGGGAGACCAGAGAAGGAGACCAGAGACCAGAGTGAGAGACCAGAGAGAGAGAGCAGAGGGAGACCAGAAAGGGAGACGAGAGAGACCAGAGAAAGACCAGAGAGAGAGCAGAAGGAGACCAGAGAGAGAGACCCGAGGGAGACCAGAGAGAGGGACCAGAGAGAGGGACCAGAGAGAGACCAGAGAGAGACCAGAGAGAGAGAGACCAGAGAGGGAGAGACCAGAGAGGGAGACGAGAGAGACAAGAGAAAGACCAGAGAGAGAGACCAGAGAGAGGGACCAGAGAGAGAGAGACCAGAGAGGGAGAGACCAGAGAGGGAGAGACCAGAGAGGGAGACGAGAGAGACAAGAGAAAGACCAGAGAGAGAGACCAGAGAGAGACACCAGAGACCAGAGAGACCACAGAGAGTCCTCTAAACTAATCACAGCTGCACATAAATCACTAAAGTTTTCTTCTGACTTTAAGGAGAGGTAACTGTCATGTTCAACTAGCGGTTTTATGACGTTGTATATGAGGTTGTGGGAGTACACACACGGTGCATGAGAAGCACGTTGAAAAAAAAGCACAAACTAAGAATACACAAAACAGTGAAGCCACGAAAGCTGGAAGGTGTTAGAGCCTGGACCACTGCACATGTTAAATTCCATGGTCTTTTAAGTGTGAGATCAACACAACACATTTCAATTCCAAGCTCTGGTTATGGTTTTTGTGAAATTATGTGCGCACTGCATGGAAATAACCGTTTAAATGAATGAAATGTCAAACGAACAGAAACAAATCAAAAACATGTGACTCACGTTTAAGTGCAGCACAATGCTTCTTGATTGCGGCTGGTGTCAAATGCAAAAAATTAGGGATCTGAAAGAAGAAATGTAAACAAAGACAAGTTTAATGTTTGAATAAATATGTGCTATAATCATAGCCTGTATACACATGGACAATGCTAACCTGCTAGCTCAATGAAGCCCAATAGGGAAGTGCTCATAGACGAGGTTTTGCTCTAATTTTGCTCCATATTGACCTACATTGGAAAGTAAACTCTTCTAACTCTGTATTCGCTATTTTGGTCTTTGTAAATTTACATATGAGCCATATTCGGATTGAGCAATCATTCATGGGGGACTCCAAGCTTGCCTTAGCAACTACCATAGCAACTGCAATAGCAACTGCAATAGCGACTGCCTTAGCAACTGCCTTAGCAACTGCCTTAGCAACTGCCTTAGCAACTGCCTTAGCAACTACCATAGCAACTGCCTTAGCAACTGCCTTAGCAACTGCCTTAGCAACTGCCTTAGCAACTGCCTTAGCAACTGCCTTAGCAACTGCCTTAGCAACTGCCTTAGCAACTGCCTTAGCAACTGCCTTAGCAACTGCCTTAGCAACTGCCTTAGCAACTGCCTTAGCAACAGCCTTAGCAACTGCCTCAGCAACTGCCTCAGCAACTGCCTCAGCAACTGCCTCAGCAACTGCCTCAGCAACTGCCTTAGCAACTGCCTTAGCAACTGCCTTAGCAACTGCCTTAGCAACTGCCTTAGCAACTGCCTTAGCAACTGCCTTAGCAACTGCCTTAGCAACTGCCTTAGCAACTGCCTCAGCATCTGCCTCAGCATCTGCCTCAGCATCTGCCTCAGCATCTGCCTCAGCATCTGCCTTAGCATCTGCCTAAGCAACTGCCTAAGCAACTTCCTTAGCAACTGCCTTAGCAACTGCCTCAGCAACTAGCTTAGCAACTGCCTTAGCAACTGCCTTAGCAACTGCCTTAGCAACTGCCTTAGCAACTGCCTTAGCAACTGCCTTAGCAACTGCCTTAGCAACTGCCTTAGCAACTGCCTTAGCAACTGCCTCAGCAACTGCCTCAGCATCTGCCTCAGCATCTGCCTAAGCAACTGCCTTAGCAACTGCCTTAGCAACTGCCTTAGCAACTGCCTTAGCAACTGCCTTAGCAACTGCCTTAGCAACTGCCTCAGCAACTGCCTCAGCATCTGCCTCAGCATCTGCCTCAGCATCTGCCTCAGCATCTGCCTTAGCATCTGCCTAAGCAACTTCCTTAGCAACTGCCTTAGCAACTGCCTCAGCAACTAGCTTAGCAACTGCCTTAGCAACTGCCTTAGCAACTGCCTTAGCAACTGCCTTAGCAACTGCCTTAGCAACTGCCTTAGCAACTGCCTTAGCAACTGCCTTAGCAACTGCCTTAGCAACTGCCTTAGCAACTGCCTCAGCAACTGCCTCAGCATCTGCCTCAGCATCTGCCTTAGCAACTGCCTTAGCAACTGCCTTAGCAACTGCCTTAGCAACTGCCTTAGCAACTGCCTTAGCAACTGCCTGAGCAACTGCCTTAGCATCTGCCTTAGCATCTGCCTTAGCATCTGCCTTAGCATCTGCCTTAGCATCTGCCTTAGCATCTGCCTAAGCAACTGCCTAAGCAACTGCCTTAGCAACTGCCTCAGCAACTAGCTTAGCATCTGCCTTAGCATCTGCCTTAGCAACTGCCTTAGCAACTGCCTTAGCAACTGCCTTAGCAACTGCCTTAGCAACTAGCTAAGCAACTGCCTTAGCAACTGCCTTAGCAACTGCCTTAGCAACTGCCTTAGCAACTGCCTTAGCAACTGCCTTAGCAACTAGCTTAGCAACTAGCTTAGCAACTAGCTTAGCAACTGCCTTAGCATCTGCCTTAGCATCTGCCTTAGCAACTGCCTCAGCAACTAGCTTAGCATCTGCCTTAGCAACTAGCTTAGCATCTGCCTTAGCAACTAGCTTAGCAACTAGCTTAGCAACTGCCTTAGCAACTGCCTCAGCAACTGCCTTAGCAACTAGCTTAGCAACTAGCTTAGCAACTAGCTTAGCAACTAGCTTAGCAACTGCCTTAGCATCTGCCTTAGCATCTGCCTTAGCATCTGCCTTAGCAACTGCCTCAGCAAATAGCTTAGCATCTGCCTTAGCAACTAGCTTAGCATCTGCCTTAGCAACTAGCTTAGCAACTGCCTTAGCAACTAGCTTAGCAACTGCCTTAGCAACTAGCTTAGCAACTGCCTTAGCAACTAGCTTAGCAACTGCCTTAGCAACTAGCTTAGCAACTGCCTTAGCAACTAGCTTAGCAACTGCCTTAGCAACTAGCTTAGCAACTGCCTCAGCAACTCGTCTGCCCCTGTAACAGCATGAAGCTAACAAGGAAATTAGCTCCACCTAGCTTATGTTCAAATGGCCTTCTACATTAAGGCTAACACTATGGTGATTTCACACTTCTAATATATGCTCTATGACTATAATGTACACTTTGGGAAACATAAGATCGAACAGACACAAGTGACTCAAACTTTTGCTTTGAGTAAAACATCATTATTGAATACTTTTGAGCACATGATCGGTTTGGGATCAGAGAGAATTGACCGTTGTCGGCAGCGTGGCTAAGTTCCAGCTGTGAGGGATGAGAGCAGTGGATCTAAAGGTGGCCAGGGTCCAGATGGAGCAGCTGGTGTCTGGCCCCAGCAGCGGCAGTAATCCTCCGTCAGTGCCATCAAAACGCCACTCAAATTCAAGGCCAAAACGCAGCGTTTAGGTGGAGCGCAGATAGAGTAACAACAAATACAGAGTAGAAGTGAGACCTGGTGAAGACTATTCTCAAGCTCGGGACGGCTCTGCTCTGCTCGGCTCTATATCCCAATTGGGAGAGTTTCCACCGGCCCTGATTAACCGGAACAAAGTCACAAAGCACCTGTCCTCATGGGAGCGGAGCCACCGAACTAGATGTGCATGCCAGATCTATTGTACGTGTTTTTTGTGGTAGGGGAAACTGGAGCACCCAGACACGGGAAGAGCATGCAAACTCCACACAGAAGCGCTAACCACTGTGCTATGGCGCCTCACTGCAGACACACACACACACACACACTAAAGGGGGCGGGCTCACATTAGCACTTTAAAGCCTCTGCCTCGTCCTTCAGAGCCCCATGTGGTGTTAACAGTACGGAACGACACCCAAGCGCTCAATAAATGAAATGAAAGCTGTTGGAGCTGTGTCTGTTTTCAGATTTGAGTTATGAGAAATTAATTGAGTTCTTCTAACATATTTTGTTTAAGATCATTTTGCGTTAATTATTGCTTGTTTAGCCTAATTAAATTTAGGTCACAGGGTTAAATAGGGCTATGGTGGGAGGGCGCAGTGTAGAGGCATTTGGGGCACATGGTTTTCTTACAAGCGAGAGGAGAGGCTGCAGTTTGCCGCTTTGCTTGGCCCACAAACGCAACTAAAATGCATTTTTGTTTGGACATTTCGTTTTCTCTACCCTGCATGAAGCCAAGCTAAAAACATCTTTTGATTTGTTTTGGTTTAAGTTGGTCATTGAACCAACTTAAACCAATTAAATGAAATGATTTGGGTTAATGAAAGAATCCTCTGACCTTGACCAGCTCCAAGTTCCCCTTTTTTTCCATGGCGACGCCCCCCTTTATAGGATAGCCCATGCGGACAGGCAGCGGGACAGCGTTGGGTCTGAAGGGAGCAGCAGAGGGGTACACAGCCGTCCAGTCCTGATCCGCAGACATCTTCTCTGTCCGCGGCGCTCCGGCCTGAGGAAAACAACACCATTTGAGTTACAGAAATTAATAATATAATTCATCGCTTTTTTTGGACACTCAAAGGTGCTTTACATGTCATCTTACTGAAGCATTTACAGCTAGCTAGGGGACATAGCAGCTGCTCGTATTGTATATTCTGTGTGCTCCTTGTGTGCTCTTACTACTGTCCAGTATGTGCGCTGCAATATTGAAGTTTCTCTATTGCAGGAAGAATAAAGGATATCAACACTTACTTCTCTAAAAAGTTTATTTCTCAGGGCGACAGTAGCTCAGTTGGGCAGTCCTTGGGCAAGACACTTAACCCCACTTTGCCCAAAGCCCCCACTGAAAGATCAAGGCTATGCTCACACTCAGTGAGCAGCCGTCCTCCTGTGGACTCACCACCTGCAGAGGGTCAGTGAGGGGCTGGTGCTGTGAGACTTGGGTGGCATCTCTGATTGCCACTCCCCTGACCCAGAAATGGATTAAAGGGTGGATGGATGGAACACTTACTTCTCTCCTGGGTTTTCTCACAAACGGACCTCGGCCTCCTCTCTCTGGAAAACCTAAAAGAAAAGGACGAAACCAACACGTTGATAAAGACACAGGCATTATCCAAACGGTGGATTATTTAGACTACACTTTTCAATACTAGTTAAGTTTCCTACAACAATACGGTTATTTGTTATGTGGTTTTACTGAAAATGGCAAAACATGGACAATAGAGAAAATCCTTCATCTCTGGTCCAGACCAAGAGCATCAACATCTGGAGACGGGTCCTCGACGACCACTGCTCCTGACAGATGCCCGTAAGGTAAGGTATGGATGGATCAAATGCAGAGGACCTTATGGGGAGAACTGAACTTGTTACTGCGTGGTATTATGTTAGTAATACTGTGAGATTTCATAACACTTTGAAGCAACTTTTGTTAAAGTTAAACTCATAAGTCTATCAATGTGCAGAAGCCAGTACTTTTCCCTTGTTTTGTCTATCTGTTTTGTCTATCTGAAGGCCAAGCTTGTCATGGGTGTTGTGTTTCTCTTTTCAAACTGTGAGAAAGAGCAGGGGTGTCCAAACTTATTAGCACTAGGGCCACTTTGGTTTTTGTTTAGTTTTAATTCAATTCATCCATCCATCCACCCATCTTCTTCCCATTAATCCATTTCTGGGTCATGGAAGTCATTCGCGCAGCCTGATTCTAATACATTGAATTAATATACTTCAATTCCATTTATTCTTGTATCGGCCAAAATCACAACAGTATTTGTCGCAGAGGACTTAACCTAACTGTTGAAATCGCCAACACAGATCAGAGAATCAACAGTTCAGACCCAAAAAATATAGAACACATGGTATCGGTGTGAGATTTCATAACACTTTTAAGCAACTTTTGTTAAAGTTAAACTCATCATTCTATCAATGTGCAGAAGCCAGTACTTTTCCCTTGTTTTGTCTATCTGAAGGCCAAGCTACATGGCACCGTGGAAGCTGCTGATTGGAGGTCTCCATGCCTCCGCTCTGTATAATACACTTGCATTCTGTTGTTCGTGCTGTCTCTACCATCGACAATAAAACATGTCTTCTGTCTGAATGAAAGACGCGATCCCAGACTTTGTCATCTTCTTCAATACCATAAGAACAAACTCAGGGACTGGCCTCCTGCAGGTGCTCAGAGTCAGGACTAAACACGGGGAGGCAGCGTTTCAGATTTATGCAGCTAAAAACTAGAACAGTCTTCCTGAAAATGTGAGACAGGATTCTTCTCTGACAATGATAAATTTGAGCTTGAACTAGGTCTATTTAGCTGTGCATTCAACTTAAAATTAGCTTCACTCTTTTTGATGCACTTGGAGAATTTATGATTTTAATGCCTTGTGTGAATGATCATATCTTATTTTGATAAGCACTTTGCCTTGTGTATTCACAGTGCTATACAAATAAACTTGCCTTGCCTGGAATCCTAGATATTACCGAAGACCACACCACAGCTACATAATAATAAATCATTCCTTCAAGAAGCCATCAATCCACTTTAACTGAAACATGATGATAACCTTAAGGATGTGTCAATGACAACCTGACAGCGATAGCAGCCAGAGGACACATGCTAAAGCTAACCTCACTTACCTCTGTTGTTTTTAGCATTATTAGGAGGACTGGTGGACAGAAGGGTCGCGTACGTGGCTCTGTGTGTGCCATGCTGAAAACTGGACGGTAAAAGGTTCTTTCGTCCTAAGATAAACACGCTCCGAAACGCAGCGCTGGAGGAGGACGCCATGTTTTTGTCTCACTACGGAAAGCGGAGAGGGACAAACACGCCGCGTCAGTCTCAGTGGGGCATATATAATATTAATAATTCATTTTAATAAATCTTAATTCCAGACTCAAGGTCCATCTGCATAGACTGTAGTGTATATAGATAGACAATGCTGACCCGCGTTATTTCAATGAAGCCCAACAGGGAAGTGCTCATGGACGAAGTTTTGCACCAATTCGCTCTGGCTCCTACTTGTGTGACAGAAACGGTTACTGAGATTGAGGACTTTTACAAAACATTGTCCAAGAGCACATCCATAGTGGGCTTCAAGGAGCTAGCGGGTTAGCATTGTCTATCTATACGCAGTCTAAACGTAAAAACTCCTCGGGATGAAGAACAATGATATAGCTCCCCATCCACATCAAGGAAGCAAACACGGTCTCTACATTCAAGGTTAGGCTTAAAATAGTCCTCTTCTCTGATCTGTGTTGGCGAATCGACAACTTTGTAAAGTCCTCAGAGATACTGTTGTTATTTAGTGCTGCAAATACATTGAACTGAATTGAAATGCCAGAAGGAAAGACAAGGCAGGTCATTCAGAATACATAACCACATACAAAATGACCCAAAAGTTATTTAACACTCCCACGCCACACTCCCAAAGCAGTCAATTTAGATGTTTATTGCAAAATTGTTTATCTTTGGTCATCATAACTTTGTAAGATAAGATAAAATAAACTTTTTTGATCTCTCAATTTACATGTCACCTTTGACATATAGAATCACTCCGCGAAAGACAAGTGTGCAAACAAACATCCATCCATCCATCCATTTTCTACCCTTTAAACCACATGTGTCAAAGTCAAGGCCCGCGGGCCAAATCCGGCCCGCGAATGAATTTTACATTCATCAGCAAAATTATTTTTTCTGATGAAAGTAGACAGTCTATTCTTTCAGAATCTGGTTTCGGATTTCAGATAGTCATAGTACACAATATTCTGTGGGTCTTGAAAAATCTATAAAAATCATCAGAAACTGCTGGCAATATGGGAGTACCTGTTCTGAAATAGGCTGGCAGGCAATGAGTTAATAAACATTGAACCAGTCAGGTGTTCTGTCGAGTTGCTCTGCCCGTCGAGATGATCTGGCTCAGCTGTTAATGATGTAATGCAAACCTGCCCATGCGCGTCTCACTCCATCCGAAGCAATCCAAGATGGCGGACATATAGTCCGCGAATTACTTTAAAAGTTAAATATGAACGAGTTAAGACAAGAATGTCACTTTTAATGCAATTTGAGGCGAGATGTTGATGGTTCCGCGTTGTGATATGTGTGTTTTAAGAGTAAGAGTTTAAGTGTAAAAGTGTAAAGTTTGTTTTAAGCAGTCCACTGCTCCTGTGAAACTACACTGCTGCTGTGTGATCGCTGTCCCTGAGTTGACTGCTGCGTACGTCAGGCCCATGACGCGTCCTGTGACTGGTCTGTCGGGTTGATAATGGAAATAATAAATTAAAATGTATGCATGTATCATACTGTATTCAATATGATTAACAATAGTGTGTTCAAACAAAATATTTAATTAGATCGAGTTTTTTCCCCATTCTGGCGGGTTTGTGCGCATGCGCAAATCAGATTTGGGCACACTAGCAGTGTAGTTTCACAGGAGCAGTGGACTGCTTAAAACAAACTTTAAACGAAACTCTTCCTCTTAAAACACACATATCACAACGCGGAACCATCAACATCTCGCCTCAAGTTGCATTAAAAGTGACATTCGTGTCTTAATTCGTTCATATTTAACTTTTAAAGTAATTCGCGGACTACATGTCCGCCATCTTGGATTGCTTCGGATGGAGTGAGACGCGCATGGGCAGGTTTGCATTACATCATTAACAGCTGAACCAGATCATCTCGACGGGCAGACCAACTCGACAGAACACCGGCCCTCGGCTCGCAGCAAATTTGTTTTTTTGGCCCTCTGATGTATTTGACTTTGACATGCCTGCTTTAATCCATTTCTGGGTCAGGGGGGTGGCAGTCAGAGATGCCACCCAAGTCTCATAGCACCAGCCCCTCACTGACCCTCTGCAGGTGGTGAGTCCACAGGAGGACGGCTGCTCTCTGAGTGTGAGCACAGCCTTGATCTTTCAGTGGGGGCTTTGGGCAAAGTGGGGTTAAGTGTCTTGCCCAAGGACACAACAACAGCAGTCATCAGTGGGAGTCGTGTTAACAAACATGTTAACGTTAAAATATTTGTCTGTGTGGGGGATATACAGTCTGTATGTGGGAAATATTATTATCATTATTATAATTGTCATTTTTTTTTTTTCATTATTCATTTATTATTATTATTATTATTATTATTGTTGTTGTTGTTGTTGTTATTATATATGTGACTTTTCTTTTTCTTTATGAAGTTTATTTCTATGTTTATCATAGATCCTCCGCTGGTTCAGAGCAAATGCTAGTTACCATAGCAACATAGTGATTACTTGCGGCAGTCAGCATTTGTTTTAGCTGTATTTCAGTTGTAAGCACCTTGGAATACAAAAAAAAAAGATAAAATTAAAATGAAATAATAAGTAGTGACTCTTTTTGGGGGATATTTCCGGGATTTCATAATTCAGTGAGTTAACCACACACGACCACATCCACCGTGTCCAGTGGCCTCCAGCTGTCCATCCACCAGCTGCTTTCACGCGAGACACGTTCAGGCTCGTTACGTAAAATATGTGTTACCTGGAGCTCAAACGGGCATCATGGCATATTTCCCATTTTTGATTATTGTTTATAAATCAGATAATTAACACGAGGGAGCTAGCACTTTAGTAATTACACAATGTTTTATGTATTTATTTTTACGAGGAATCAATATAAAAGTGACAGTCTCAGCCAATACTGGAAATATCAATGTATTAAAAATTGAATACAATTCTCTGTGTTGTATAAGCAAAACAATGCAACAGAGGACAATAAACAAATCCAATCCCGTTCATATATATTTTTTTCTTTTTTTTAAATAAATCAATAAAACACATAATCTGGCTCTAAAATCCCATCTGACCCTGAACGCATCAGGCTCAGAGCATCCACGGCTCCTCAACGACAACTCCCGCGCAGATCAGGATGAAACTCACTTTGCCACCGGACTTTTATATGTTTTATTGGCTTTAAACCCGACTCTTTTATCCTCACATTTATTCCTACACAGAGTTTAGATGAAAGCATTTTATTTCATGCAATTTGGTGAGTGTCTGTGTGATTGAAGGTAAGGCTGTTGCTGTCTACTGTATGTGATGCATGTGTTGTATTTAAATTCTAATTTCAGTGTGTTTGTCAGGTATTTTAATGTGTGTGTAGGGGTTAATCTGGGGGAAGGGCATTTAATAAGGTGTCTGAATTAGAAGTCGGAAAATCTCTCAGTAGACTACTGAAACAGTAGAGTCCCCGTGCGTGCGGATCTTGCCTAAAGTCTGACAGATTCCATTGTGTCTCTCGGGGCCATGACGTTTTAAAGACAGGAAACTCTATCTACAGTGGGACAGCGGCGAGCGGCACCTGTCACCAGCTCATCTGCGCACTGGAGGCGGACGGCCCGGGGGAGGCGCGCTCTCATTGTCTCTCCGCTGTCCCACCAGGATTTTCCGAAGCTTGGGCCAGTGTTTTTCAACCTGTGGGCCGTGGCACGTGGTGTGTTGTGGTGTGACTTGAGATGCAACTTTGGAAACGATGCGACATCACCTGATTGGTTGAAATGATGTGAAAGGATAATTTTGTGTGCGTTTGTTTGAGGATGACTTTACATTGTTTACTCTATGACTCCCAGAGCAGTCAATTTGACGGCTTTTCATTATGGAAGAGTAATTTCTCAGTATACAATAGTCCTCCATAAGACCCTTCTCGACCCCACTCCTGCTCTCAAGAACCAGGACTTACCAGCAATAAATAACGACATAGGCAAGGCGAGTTTTTTTCGTATAGCACTATTCATACACAAAGCAACTCAAAGTCCTGAACAAAACATGACAGCATTAAAATTATAAATAATCACAGTGCATCAAAAAGAGAAAAAATAAAATCCTTCGGCTAAACAACTGTTTTCAACCTGGATTTGAACATTGTCAGAGAAGAAGCCTGTCTCACATCTTCAGGAAGACTGTTCTAGATTCTAGCTGCATGAATCTGAAATGCGGCCATCCCATGTTTAGTCCTGACTCTGGGCACCAGCTGGAGGCCAGTCCCTGTGCTCCTCAGAGTCAGCAGTAGGGGGCCAGTCCCTGTGCTCCTCAGAGTCACCAGCAGGAGGCCAGTCCCTGTGCTCCTCAGAGTCCCAGCAGGAGGCCAGTCCTTTGCTCTGGTCCTAGACTGGACTAGACCATTTTAAGTATGTAAATCAATGCAGGCTACTAGTCCAGGGTTGTAGAGTCTGGACTAAATCTGAAAGTGTCTCAAAAACCTGACAAGTTTAGTTGAGTAGAAGTAAACTCAGAATGTACTGATCTGTATCTGACATATTCAGGCTGCTCTCTGAAAACAACACAAGCCTTTAAAGTGGGACAGGTCAGAGCCACAGATGCATTAGCTCTCTGAAGAGTCGTCTTTAGCAAAATAATCCTCTGTTTAACATTTTCTCTGCTGTACTCGATGACGTCATGAAGCGTGAGATGTTTATCAAGTAATAATACCAGAAAACACAGCAATGACCCAGGTTAAAACTCTACCAGCACTGTGACGTACTAGTACTGTGACGTACTAGTACTGTGACGTACTAGTACTGTGACGTACTAGTACTGTGACGTACTAGTACTGTGACGTACTAGTACTGTGACGTACTAGTACTGTGACGTACTAGTACTGTGACATACTAGTACTGTGAAGTACTAGTACTGTGATATACTAGTACTGTGATATACTAGTACTGTGATATATTAGTACTGTGATATACTAGTACTGTACTAATACTGTGATATATTAGTACTGTGATATACTAGTACTGTGATATACTAATACTGTGATATACTAGTACTGTAATATACTAGTAGTGTGATATACTAATACTGTGATATACTAGTACTGTGATATATTAGTGCTGTGATATACTAGTACTGTGCTATATTAGTACTGTACTAATACTGTGATATACTAGTACTGTGATATATTAGTGCTGTGATATACTAGTACTGTGCTATATTAGTACTGTACTAATACTGTGATATACTAGTACTGTGATATATTAGTACTGTGATATACTAGTACTGTAATATATAATACTGTGATATACTATCCATCCATCCATCCATTTTCTACCCTTTAATCCATTTCTGGGTCAGGGGGGTGGCAATCAGAGATGCCACCCAAGTCTCATAGCACCAGCCCCAATACTACTAATACTAATACTGTGATATACTAATACTGTGATATACTAGTACTGTAATATATTTGTACTGTGATATACTGATACTGTGATATACTAGTACTGTGATATACTTGTACTATAATAATACTGTGATATACCAGGACTGTGATATACTAGTACTGTGATATACTTATACTGTGATATACTAGTAGTGTGATATACTAATACTGTGATATACTAGTACTGTGATATACTAGTACTGTGATATACTGATACTGTGATATATTAGTACTGTGATATATTAGTACTGTGATATACTGATCCTGTGATATACTAATACTGTGATATATTAGTACTGTGATATACTAGTACTGTGATATACTAATACTGTGATATACTAGTACTGTAATATACTAGTAATGAGATATACTAATACTGTGAAATACTGATACTGTGATATACTAGTACTGTGATATACTAGTAGTGTGATTTACTAATACTGTGATATACTGATACTGTGATATATTAGTTCTGTGATATACTAGTACTGTAATATACTAGTAGTGTGATATACTAATACTGTGATATACTAGTACTGTGATATACTAATACTGTGATATACTACTAATGTAATATACTAATAATGTCAATGAGTAAAAGTAGCTTGGTGGTGTGTGTTTAGCCCCATTTCCACCAGCCCTACTCAACTCTACTTTACCCAGATAGAGGGTTAGGGTACCAGGTCCTTCTTTAGTAGCGGTTTGGCCCTGGTTCTATCCAGGCCGAGCTGGTACTAAAGTGTTCTAATTTAACACTTTCATTGGCCAAAGTGCTGCTGGAAGCCATGGTTACCAAATAATTTCTTAAGATACTCTTGTAGAAAAAAACACTAACCATTGGCAAAATGTATGTTTACTTGAGCACATCTTGACTGGCTTACAACAAGATTTGTCAATGGGACAAAGCACAAGAAACTTCTACTTTAGAATGAGAAAATAAAGCAACAGTTCTTGAAATAAGAGTAGATGGCTTTGTCGCATTGGTGAATCTGGTTTTAAGACTAATTTAAGACCGGATTTACTCAAATTAAGATTAAAATATCAATTGAATCAAGCAAATTTGACCTCATATTATATCATTTTTAGTAGTGTATTGGATTAAAAAAATATAGCATAGCATACAGTAGAGTAGAGTAGAGTACAGTAGATTAGACTAGAGTAGTGTAGAGTAGAGTACAGTAGATTAGAGTAGAGTAGAGTACAGTAGATTAGAGTAGAGTAGAGTGGGGCTGGTGGAAACAGGGTTCTTGTCTCATGGCTCATATTCTTCCACTGCAGGCATGGACGTGTGGGCCGCCACCGGGAGCTAGCCATGCCTGGCCCAGCACTGTGTCCTGCCGCACTGCTCCCGTCTCTTTAAACCTCCGGTGGTTGTCCCAGGACTTTGATGCTGAAGCTCCACCTGGATCAGAATGGGGGAAAGACGGGCACGGTCCTTCCACATGACCTGCCATATGCAACGCGACTACGGGACCCGCATCGGGAGCTCCTTCATCGGATACAGCCCAAACGGATACGCCAGTTCCAGCCTGAGCCTCAGCCTGGACCAGGACCTGGACGTGGACCCTTTGGGCTCAGCAGAGTCCGCAGCGGCAGGGTTGGGGCTGCAGGCCCCTGTCAGGAGCCGCTACTCTCCTGTTTCACTGGAACTGGACCCTGCAGGGGTGAATAATGGATCAGGCATTCCCCACCGCCCGCCTGTGGACACAATGGACCCAGCGCTGCAGATCACACCAGGCCAGCCTTCACTCACCCCTGTCCCGCCACCTCTCCCGCGCTCCAGCTGGCTGCACCACCAAAAGGATTTCCAGAGGCCGTACATTAAGACTAGCATGCAGGGGGATGTTTACAACTTCCTTGAGAGACCTGCTGGACTGAGATGCTTCCTCTATCACTTTCTTGTGTGAGTACCACCACTTTTTTATCCATCTCGCATCACTAGGTCTCACCCATGGTTTTATCAATGGGCCTAGATCAAGGGTCTCCAACCTTTCTCAATCGGAGAGATACTTATATACAACAGAAGTGGCTGAGAACTCGTTCCTTTTGTAGTTGTAATAAATGTCTATATAAAAACAACAAAACATGGAGAACACAGATGTAAAATATACCATAATACTGTATAACCTTACATTTATACTTATAATAGATATGTAAATACTAATATATTCAGTGAGGATCATGTGTTAAATCCTTTGGGGAGTATTCTAAAAGGAGCTTCCAAGTTATTGGTAGCTCCCGATTTACTGGCTGGAGACCCCTGGGCTAGGTACTCACTGGGAGCTGATTTTGTCTCTTTCGCTAACAGCTGAATGGTAGTTTGATTAGTTGAATATTTGATAAGGAATCGTCTGCTAGAAGTGGTATTGAATTGCCTCTTATTGAAACCAGACTTTGGAAAGTAGCCAGTGTTTTCTGAGGTCTAGCTCAAGATGCAGTCAATCAGGGGTCTCCAACCTGTGGCTCAAGAGCTACCAGGAGCTCGCCAGCCCCTTTCAGGTAGCTCCCCAAAGGATTTAGAATTCACCACATGATCTTGAATAGATAAATTGTGAGTCATTACATATCTATGATAAGTATAAATATAGGGTTTTACAGTATTATGGTGTATACATGGGGCGACAAGAAATTATGTGCGTTCCAAAGTCACCAGCCTTGGCGTCACTATAGACAGTGATTTTAAATTTGACAAACAAGTTAATGGCGTTTTAAAATCGTGTTTTTATCATCTTCGGCTTTTATCAAAAGTGAAGCCATTATTATCTTTTAACTTGTTAGAACAAGTTGTGCATGCTTTTATTTCCAGTCGTCTGGACTACTGCAACGCACTTTATGCTGGTGTCAATCAGAAAACCCTCTCCCGGTTGCAGTTGGTCCAGAACGCAGCAAGCGCGAACACATCACCCTGTACCCTGGGTACCCTGTACTCGCGTCTTTGCACTGGCTCCCTGTTCGTTTTAGAATTGATTTTAAAATTTTACTGTTTGTTTTTAAATCTTTGCATGGACAGGCCCCTGATTACATCTCGGACCTCATCCAAATTTACACTCGTGCGCGCGCCCTGAGGTCCGAGAGCCAGCTCCAGCTCGTGGTCCCTAACGCAAGACTTAAAACCCGGGGGGACAGAGCCTTCTCTGTAGTCGGCCCTAAGCTCTGGAACGCTCTTCCCCTCCATGTCCGGACGGCCCCCACAGTAGAGTGTTTTAAGTCTCGTCTTAAGACCCACTTTTACTCTTTGGCTTTTAACACTGCGTGAGTTGTGTGGTCCTCTGTGTTTTTATTTTATTTCTATTTATGGTTTTAATCTGTTTTATATATTTTTATTCTTTTATACTTGGTGAAGCTAAGGATACATTTTTATTTATTTTATACTTTTTTGTGCAGCACTTTGGAAACGCAACTGTTGTTTAAACGTGCTATATAAATAAAGTGGATTGGATTGGATTGGCGACGGTAGCTCAGTTGGTAGAGCATTCGCCTTAGAGCCTGAAGGTTGTGGGTTCGAGCCCACCACAAGACCTACTTCACGACTCCCACTGATGACTGCTGTCGTTGTGTCCTTGGGCAAGACACTTAGCCCTACTTTGCCTGAAGCCCCAACTGAAAGATCAAGGCTCCTGTGGACTCACCACCTGCAGAGGATCAGTGAGGGGCTTGTGCTCTGTGGACTGGGTGCAGCTCTGACTGCCACCCCCCTGACCCAGAAATGGATTAAGGGGAAGAAAATGGACGGTGTTTTCTTTATGTTTTCTCGTAAATATTACATCAACTTTTTATCACGACTGCAAAAAGGAGTAGCTCCCTCAGATTGAAAACGGTTAGAGACCCCTGCAGTAAATACTATGCAATTCATTATTATTGTATAGCCCAAATCACAACAGTAGTTACTGTATCTCGAAGGACTTTACAAAACCGTTGATTCGCCAACACAGATCAGAGAATCAAACACTTCAAACACATGCAGTGATAAAAACACACAGAGCCATTGGTCCATAAGGAGCAGAGACCAATGTCCTTCACCAAATCCAACCCGCCACGCACTATACATTTCCGTAAAATCAAGGACATTAACTTGGACAATTTAAAAACTCTCATCCATAACCTCCCCAGTGCTGATAGGCTTTCTCCAACAGATGAGTTTCTCACACACTACAACACAAACCTCCATAACATTCTCAACACTCTGGCCCCACTCAAAACCCGCTCTGTCTCCTTCATTCACACAGCCCCCTGGTTCACTCGCACCCTCAGACAACTCAAAACCAAAGGCTGCCAACTTGAAAGACTCTACAGAAAAACTGGACTCACTATTCACCATGAAATGTACAAAACACATACCCTCCATTACAAAGACTCCATCTCCACTGCTAAATCCACATACTACTCCGGTTTAATCAGCTCAAATGAAGGTAACTCCAAAGCACTTTTCTCACACATCTCGTCCATCACAAAACCTTCTGCCTCTCTTCCCTCTCATCTCTATTCATCGGATTTTTGCAATACCCTGGCCTCATTTTTCAACTCCAAAATCCAGCACATCCACCAGCAACTCACTCCATCTTCTCCCAATGCTCCTGCTCCATTCTTCCCAGCTCCAACCCACCTCTTCTCTTCCTTTACCTCCCCATCTGTCAACCAAATCTCCACCTACATCCAAAAATCCAAATCCTCCTCCTGTCAACTTGACCCTCTCCCCACCGTCCTTGTTAAAGCCTCCAGTCCTCCACTTTCCCCTCTCATCACAAACATAACTAAAATCTCTCTATCTACTGGTACTGTGCCCTCCCCACTCAAAACTGCTGCCGTCACTCCCATACTCAAGAAACCTGGTTCTGATCCCTCTGACCTCAATAACTTCCGCTCCATCTCTAACCTTCCCTTCTTCGCCAAACTCCTTGAAAAAACCGTTGCTGCTCAACTTCACTCTTACCTTTCCCACAATAACCTCTATGAACAACTTCAATCTGGCTTCCGGTCCCTCCACAGCACTGAAACCGCCCTTGTCAAAATCACCATTGACCTTCTCCTCTCTGCTGACTCCGGTTCACTCTCCATCCTCCTCCTGCTTGATCTCAGTGCAGCATTCGACACCATCTTCTGCACAGACTCTCGTCCATTGGCATCTCAAGTACTCCCCTCTCCTGGTTCAATTCCTACCTTTCTGACCGCACCCAGTTCATCCAACTTAAATCCTTTTCCTCTCGTTCCTTCCCCATCACTTCTGGTGTTCCACAGGGTTCTGTCCTCGGCCCCCTGCTTTTCCTAATCTACCTTCTACCTCTTGGTCACATTTTCCGAAAACATCACATTCACTTCCACTGCTACGCGGATGACACCCAGCTCTACATCTCCAGCAAACCAGATTCCACACTCCCACCCTCCTCTCTCACTAACTGCCTCCAAGAAATAAAGTCCTGGTTCACAGCAAACTTCCTCAAACTTAACAGCAATAAAACTGAACTCCTCCTCATCGGCACCAAAGCCACCCTCAATAACATCAAAACATTCTCCATCTCCAATGACGGCTCCTCCATTTCCCCCTCACCTCAGGTAAAGAGTCTGGGTGTCATCCTCGACAGCACCCTATCATTCACCGCACACATCAATAGCATCACCCGCATTGCCTTCTTCCATCTCAGAAACATCCGACGACTCCGCCCCTCTCTCTCCCCTCACACCACCGCCATACTCATACACAGCCTCGTCACCTCCCGCCTCGACTATTGTAACTCCCTCCTGTTCGGTCTCCCTCAAAAAACCCTCCATAAACTCCAACTGGCCCAAAACACTGCTGCCCGTCTCATGACACACCCCTCCATCAACCACATCACCCCTGTCCTCCAACAGCTCCACTGGCTCCCCATCACTCACTGCATCCAATACAAAATCCTGCTCCTCACATACAAAGCCATCCACAACCTTGCACCTCCATACCTGACTGACCTCCTCCAGATCTCCACACCTGCCCTCTCCCTCCGCTCCTCCTCCTCTCTCCAGCTCCTGGTTCCTCCTGCCCGCCTTGTCACCATGGGGAGTAGAGCCTTCAGCCGCTCTGCTCCCCAGCTCTGGAACACTCTCCGTAACACCGACTCACTCACATTCTTCAAATCCACCCCCCACTCACTAACATAACCACACCCTCCTCTGTCCATGATGCTTTTAACTTTGTATTTTAACTGTTTTTAAAATGCACTTTTTACTTGTAAGTAAGACGAACCTTGAGTGTCAAGAAAGGCGCCTAAGAAATAAAATGTATTATTATTATTATTATAAATGTTGATCCAGTCCATAAATGTGGCTGAATGTGGAGTGTCCTGGATCATCACCACTGTCCTCAGATCTTCTTGTTCGTTGTGATTTGGTTTGGATCCAAAGCAGGTCAGCAGGCTTTGTTCAGCACACCTTTGGCCCAAGTGAATACTAATGCATGTATACTGTGCACCACTTCCGCACTGTCAACAAACCAGCAACTCATGCATGAAACATGGAGCACCCTCTTTGTGCGGCTCACTTGACCCGCCATAGGAGTCCGCTGACACATTTACAGGATTATTATCAACTCTACAACTTATGAACCCACAAAACATTCAGTGATCTTTGTTTAGTGGGAGACTGCAGTAGAATAAGAAGAAATAACGATGCATTGTACTTATATGTGCTTTTTTTGGACACTTAAAGGCACTTAACAAAAAGACAGTTTAATAAGAAAAAAGGAGAAAGCTGATACGAAGAGTTTTGTGATCTGAACCTCAGTAGTGTAGTGAGTCCAAGTTCCTTATTAAATGTGGGAGTGTGTTCCAGAGAGTGGGGGCGGCTGCAGAGAAGGCTCGGTCCTCAGGGTTCAGAAGGCTCGGTCCTCAGGGTTCAGAAGGCTCGGTCCTCAGGATTCAGAAGGCTCGGTCCTCAG